AAAAAAAAGAAAAAGAAATTCTGAAATTAAATACACAATTTTTCACAAAAGCTGCTACTGACGTGCACAACACTGTGCTTATAGTATGTCACTGACCTCTAATGAAGCTTTTTTTAGAGATACAGCTTGCTCTGGCCTTGTTGCATTGTGCTCTCATTTTAATAGTAACACACTATGACACTGGCTTCCATTCACCTCCCAGGAAATCTTGCCAAGAAACCGTGCTTGGCAGGAGAGCCACACATGAAACACTTAGCCTTTGCAAACTTTTATGTTCCTATTCTGGTGGCTTGCAATTAATTTCAAGCCATGGCAGCAGTGCAAAGGCCCTGCAGCACTGGAGCTGCTGAACAGTCATAATAACAGCCCTCCACATCTATGGAGCCTGCAGAGACTCCTTCACCAGAAGTGGTCCTCGTGATTCCTAGGGGAGCACCCTCAAGCTGAAGCAGCTATTTGCAGCTTACAGCGCCAACATCCCCCTACCCACACAAGATCCATGAACCCAAACCCCCCTGCAGGCCCATTCAAACTCCTTATTCTGCCCCAAATCTCACCTGATGAGCCAGCTCATGGGCTATTATCATAGTAATCCAAAGTTTAGAAGACCCTGAGGACTTCTCAGGGTCATACAACAGCGCAGATTCCCAGTATGTGGTCAGTCCCCAGTTTTCCATAGCACCAGACTGAAAATCAAGAATTACTGCCAAATCTAGAAAAAAACCCAAACATTAAACTAGTACTAGTATCATTTAAGTCAATAAAGAACTCACTTACCCTCTCATCCCACTTGATGAATACTCCCAAATAGGCACACATATCACATATACTTCTAAGGGCTTTCTTAAATGTAATTGCAAAAACATACTTTAAAAAAAAAAGGCTCTATACAGAAGACAAGGATGTTCAGTTCCCAGTGGAGCTTTTCAACCTGTCCTTAAGTTCTGTGAAGCAGCCACTTTAAAAGGTTGTGAGACAAATCTGGCCCTGTCTTAACTCTCTAGATTTTGTGCTCTTTTACTCTCTGTGCTTAAAAATGTTCTCAAATACACTGAGTTATTTAATGCTTACCTTGTTTAGGTAAAGGATATGGAATGCTGAAGTAGTCCTCGTAGAAGTCTGGAAGTTTCACTGCCGCATCCAGTGCATAACCAGCTTGGTTGATCTTGTCTGGTACTGTATACACAGAAATCTACAGTAAACAAGCAGGCAGCACTTCAATGCCAGCACCAAAAGCTTGCAGAAGTTGTTCTTTATCGCAGTCCCTTGAATGACCATAAAAAGGTTCACAACAGCACACATCTAACGCTTTTCATACAACAGTTACTAAAATATTTGCAGAAAATTATCATCAGAATTAGGAACACAAATTTTAAAACTTACCCACCAGAACCACTATGCCCCTGAAAAGACTTCTACTATTTCCACCCGTACTGTGTTAGTCATTAAAATGACACAGCTTTATTTTAGTGCTGATTCTCCATGAAAACTATATTTCATTTGCCTTCAATTATATAATCTTACATGAAATAAACTATGTTGCCAATGCATATAAGTATATAAAAACTAAGCCCATTACCACAAACTTTTGAATCCAATCAAGCTCAGAATGCAAACTAAACATCCAACCACAAAACCAATTTCTTTCTCTCCTTTCATTCCCGTAAAGCACCAAAACGTATAAATCCAATTACTTAAGTGAAAAGTAAACCATTATGTATGCCTATAGACTTAAATACAAAAAAACCCTTAGAAAATGAAACAGAGTTACCTTAACTCCATGATTGGTTATTTTGCTGATGAACTTAAAATCCAAAACGATGAAGGCCATGAGGTAGGTACTCATCTTGACAGCGGTATCAAAATGGTCCTCAGCGAGCTAGGGAGTTATATGTACATACTTCACCTAAAAAACGAGCACAGCTCATCACCCAATAGCACTACCTGTGAGGACCTTGGCACCAACAACTGTTGTGCTTCTTCTCAGTTTAAAGACACTATATTTTAAAGAAACTACATTACATTTCAAAGGTACACTGGAAAGAAATCATCCCCATGACCACTCCTCCCCACAGAGAGAACAAAAACATTCAAATGTATATATGAGGATGCTTTCATTTGTAAGCATTACTTGCTTCTACATTGGTAAAACTAGATAAACAAAAACACTATTTGCTGCTTCAGTGTTCCTCAGTGTCTGCCAGCACACTGATCAAATTATTCTCACACAACTTTAGCTGGTAAGAAGATATATAAATCTCAGCAGCCGTTGTAATGCACAACAGAAATGAACTCCTCCAAACTGTGATTCATTCGTCTCAGGTACCTTGTTTAGCATAAAACGAGTAGTGTGTTGGAGTCATCACTATTCCTGTCTTGGTTACAGAGAGCTTTACCTAACTAACTTAGACTTGAAACACGTTTAGCCATGCTGAACTCTGGCACACACTCCTTATTAATTATTTTATCTATTTCTCTACAAAAGAACTGATACTTTCATACCAGTGTTTAATTTTTGAAAGGTATTTGGGAGGAGGGAGGCAGTGAGGGTCTGTTCCCTCATTTGTAAGGATTAGTTTCCTTGCAAACCAGCAGCTAATGGTACAGAACTTATGAAAAATCTCTTACACCCAAAATAAGATCAAATGTACAAAACGTAGTTAACCCTATATATGCATACGTATATATAATTGCAAACAATATCTGTACCAGTACTGCATCTTTACTCTGAGGTATTTTTTTTTGAAGTTTAGTGTATTTTGGGGATTTTTTTGCAGAGAAGTTCCTGCTTATCTGACAATACATGAATCGTGTATTCATACATATTTCAAAATTAATATTAAAATCTAAGATCAGCATGAAAGCAATTTGTAACTTAAATAAAGATAATGGAGACTATGTTGTGCTAATCCTTCTCACACCTCTGCTGAGAACCAGGAACCCACACAATGCATTATTTTCTTCGTTCCTTTTAACCTTGTGTCAAGACTACCAGCAGTAGCACTGCATATTAGAACTGAGGTAATGTTCAGGTCACCATCCCCAGTAACAGCAATTGTCTGGATATTCTATTCTCTCTTTGCTTTCTTGTTTCAAAATCACCAGTCAACAGCACATCAATAAAAGTTTTCATCTATGACTGGCGTATTGGACAGTGCAAGGCGCTTTGGTTTGATATGGGAAACTGGCATTAAGTTCGAATTTGTTATAACATTAGTTTAACTTTGTAGCTTTAAAGCCATGCCGAGGCACGGGTTAACCACCAATGTTAGTTTGGTTCTGCTTTTGTATTGCTTTAATTACTTTGTTCTGTAGCCATAACTCTCTGTCTTAGCTGTCCTGTAACACGCCCCGTGATCTTATACAAACCACTTGCCTTGTACAAACCACTGATCCAGTAAAAACCCAGTTTTGCCTGACCACATGCGTAGGGAACAAGGACTTGGCAACAAAAACGGCAGGGGGTGAAAAGTGCACTGTGACGAAGACCTACAGCCTTCATCCCAACGACCACCTGAAGTGACCACCAGAGTAAACTGCGCAGACGCAAAGAGGAGGAGTCCGGGGCGTGACATATGCTAATGACTTCTTAGAACTAATTATAATAAACTCACCTTATTCTCAGAAATATAATGAATATGTAACCAAGAGTCATGTATATGGAACACTTTTGATTATATAAAGAATCTGCTTAAGCATTAAGGTGTGCAAGTTAGGTGGAGCGATCCCCCTTGCACCCGGCGCTGTAATAAACACACCTGCTTTATAACTCTCCGTGAGTTGTAGGGTTGGTTTCCGCATATCAGGTTCCCTCCTAATCTTCACTGAAAACCTGGCGTTTAAGGCTGGTTCATCAAAAGATGGGAAGGCCATTTGTGCAGCTGTTGGCTCAAACTGTGTTGCTGTGAGCACTCTAAGGGGGAGAGAAAAAAAGGATTTTGGTCACACACCTTCATACACACAGCATTCACCCCCTTGATGTGTGAAAATAACTACAGGCACTACCAAAAACCTCTGCATGTCAAAAAGGACTACCTGAGCTCTCCCTCACG